GGATGGCGCTGTCCCGCCCTGCCTGCAGTATGCAAATTAGCCAATGGGAGGCATAGTGAAGGTATGTTCAATTACCATGTTTGTCTGTTATTAGATAGGACACTGGATTCTCCATATTCACATACTGAATTTTCCATTTGAAGGTTTTAGAAAGAATCAACATAATGACAACACCAACAATAACAGCAGTGACAGCTACAGTTTATTGGAGTCTATTGCAGGCCACACATTTAGGTTGTATTTTAAATACAGAGCCCTCTTTTTCTCACAACAAATCTGCAAGATAAGGATGACTGTCCCCATTTTCCACTGAGGATAAGGGTATAAATGACAGAGCCCATATTTAAGCCTCATCTTTTGTCTGATGCTAAGATGAGTTCAGAGGTATATGCTCAAACCTCAAACCATAATCTGTGGAATATTTAAGATATCTTCAGATAAGTTTTAGGAACATGTTGCACTGGCCTATAATGTGCTCTGAGTATCTTCCAGAGAGAAATAGCATATACAGAGTAGGGCAAAAGTGGGTTTACAATGGTTCGTATGGAAAATAATACAATAATTAATAAATAATAATGCAAGAATAAACTCTTTTTTGCATACTCACAACTGCACACCTACTTTTGCCCACCCTGTATGTGTGGACCATGGATCAGTTTTTCCATGAGTATTTCATGGAATGTGTTAGGAAACACTGCATTAGAATAAAGGCCACACAGAGTCTGTCTAGTATTTATCGTCTCTGATGCCTGCACTAAGCCAAACTTCAAGCCAAAGGATCGTGTTGGAATGGTGCCGTCACGGCACTAGGATGCTAGTGTAACTCATGGATCCCTTGCAGGAGAAGCAGCCGGAGACACCCACATGGGTAGTGTTTCCAACGTGCAGTTGGGAGAAATCTTTTGCATGGAGATTCAGTGCATGCTGTCACCTTCACAGAGCAGGAGAACGTGAAAGTTCAGCTGGGGCTTGAACATTTTCCTACAGTCATGTGCTGGCTGAAACTTGCTTTACTTTTCCATGTATTAGTTTGTTTTAGTGAAATGGTGGTATCGTTATTTCAATCATTTGAGCCATTTCAGGACCAGAGAATTGTATTAATTTTAATTATCCAGCTTCCTTACTTGAATGCTATGGCAACTGAGGCCTGACATAACAGGGCTCACAGCTGGTAGAACTAGGACTCCAGCTTCTCTCCCCATCTCTGCGACTGGTTGAAAAATTCTCTGTTTTATTCCACTGCAGTGGGAGTGTGTGTGTGTGTGTGTGTGTGTGTGTGTGTGTGTGTGTGTGTCTGTTGACAGAGCTAAGACAAGAAACAGAGAACCAGTCCCCTCAACTTTTTATCCTGATTTCCTTGACACCTATGCCATCACATTTCAGCATGGCCCGTAGAAAATACCTCTCTCTAATCAGTAGCAGGACAGTCCTGATTTGCTACTTGGGCCAGAAAAACTAACCAGGTAAGGGATAGGCAGTGGACTGGTAGTGTCCACCCTGTGATTACCTAATTGACCTAATCCATTTCTGTCCCCTGAATTAACTTTACATTAGCTAATTATTGTCCATTATCTATTTATGTGCTTAGAATGTTTGAATATTAGAAAAGTTTAAAAAGATTTGTGATTAAAGCTGAAAACTCTTTTGCAACTAAAGTTTTTAAACCAAAGTAACAATGCTGTGTTCTTTTATGAATAGACTGTTCACAGAATGTAAATTTATTTTTTCTTAGTAACCTTTCTTTTTTTGGTTGGAAAGTAAAACATGGTGTTATAGAGTTCTACAACCGCATCAGCTAATTGTAAATGTGTATTGACTTTTGACATATATACGTGGAATCAATACAAAGTAACAAACTGAAGTTGCTTGTAATCATAGGTATTGGCCATTAAAAAAAAAAAGCTTCGTGCGTATGGTAGCTGGCAACTTGAAAGTGTCACGGACCGAACATGTAAACCATACAAAGTGAGAGAGAAACTGTGAGGAAGCTACACGATCAATGTGTTCATCTTCCTCTGCGCTGAGTCGTCGTTAGAGCCATTAAATCCCGTCTCTCCCTTTTCCTATCAGGACAGCAGCAAAATATACACAACGCACATTTCTTACTTGGAAATCTACAATGAATGCGGTTATGATCTCTTGGATCCAAGACATGAAGCCTCCAGTTTGGAAGACTTGCCGTGAGTAGCAGAACAACAAAGAACGGGGAGAATTGCTTTCAGATGTTTCCTGCAATTGTTTTCTCTGAAACTTTGCATGTTTCTGGTCTCAACTGTAATTAACAACCACTGGATAACAGAATCCTTTTGTAACATAATGGATGCTTTTTCACTAGTGATAGGAACTCAAATAGCTTAGAACTCACTTCTTGGGGAAATCTCTTGGCGTTGGTGCAGGGAGGGCAGTGAGCGTCCTGGGAGTGTGAGCTGAGAGGACCGATGGGACCAGGCAGTCCTCTACTCCTGCCCCATGGAACCCTTCACCCCTCCAACTGTGGCCTTTCTCTGAAGAAGGTATTCAAATTAGGCTCCAGCAGCAAGGAGAGAATCTGAAAGAGAGAAAATGCCCGAGTAGCAAAAACAGCTTCTCGACTATCATTAAGACTAACAGTGACAATCATTTGGTCACGATTGGCACTGGTGGTTTCGTGACCGAACTATAAATAGAGTCTTCAGAGCTTATCTAATAATAGAGTAAGTTACCCTGCCAGCATTTCTATAACATTACTCACTGCTTGTTTGAATATCTGCCTAAATTAGACATATGTTAATTGGTAACTGCATATACTTTGCCCAGACATCTTCATATATCAGAAGATGCCAGAGCCAAGAAAACACACTTTAATATTCTTCTTATTAAATATTCTAAAACAATTTAAAAGTATATTAATCCTCTACCAAAAAAGATCAGCAACCAGTTGTTTAATTTGTAACCCACCTTTATATATATGTTCTCCCATTAATGTTGATTGAATGTTTTTACATATCATCTCTCTTATGTTTACAGTATTCATTAGAGAAAGTTAGAAAAGGGAATGTTTGTTGGTACAATAAATATTTGTATAAGAATTAAAGGGAAGGAAAGAAAAGGACTGAGAGGAAGGAAAAATTACTTACTGCGTGTAAGAAATTGGTCTTAAAGAAACTATTGGAATTATGTTTACAAAAAGGTAAACGTTTCCTATCACTACTAAAAAAATATCCACTACATTACAAAAAGATTCTGTTGTCCAGTGTTCATTAATTACCATTGCCACCAGAAAGAGTGGCTTCACACGCTCTTGAACTGGGAGCAGCTCTCAAGGAAGTCCTGCCTGTCTAGTTCCCTGTTTCATTGTGGTGAGCTGACATATACCAAACACTCTGGGTACCATCCAAAATGGTAAAACTCTCCTCATAGGAACAGCAGTATTAACGATACAAGGTGAGGTTGGACAGGCCAGGTGTTGAGGATTTGTGTAAAGTAAAAGCCAGCTTCTGAGGGACTCAGACAGAGGCTTGGGTGAGAGATTGCTCTTCATTTTAACAGGTGACTTAAGTTGTTTGCTAGCTCCAGTCTGACCTACTAGTATATACCTCCTGGCTAAATCTCGCTTAAAGCTACATTGAACAAGTCACATCTACACTGAAGAACTTAAACCAGCTTAGCAATAATCCAGAAGTGAAGGGCTTGGCTATAAAGAACATGAAGGAGGAGACATAACATGTAAGGAGAGATATGCAACAATAAATAAATGAGAAATAGCCAAAACCGGTTTGGCTCAGTGGATAGAGCATCGGCCTGCGGACTGAAAGGTCCCAGGTTCGATTCCGGTCAAGGGCATGTACCTGGGTTGCGGGCACATCCCCAGTAGGAGATGTGCAGGAGGCAGCTGATCGATGTCTCTCTCTCATCGATGTTTCTAACTCTCTATCTCTCTCCCTTCCTCTCTGTAAAAAATCAATAAAATATAAAAAAAAGAGAAATAAAATTAATTGATTATGCTCAGCACCTTGGCTTTGATTGGATTTGAAGAGAAGGTGAATCGTGTAGGCTGGCGCCCTCCTCATTTTCCTGGTTGAGGAAAGGAAGCAGAAATAAAATTAATTGATTATGCTCAGCACCTTGTCTTTGATTGGATTTGAAGAGAAGGTGAATCGTTGGCGCCCTCCTCATTTTCCTGGTTGAGGAAAGGAAGCTGTAAGAGGTGTAACTTGCCCAGAGTTTCAAAACTAATGGGTTAATGGTAGAGCAAGGATGAAAAACTAGAGCTCTCACCTTCATGCCAGAGTAGCAAAAAGAGCTTCAAGATCTTAGTGTGGGGTATAGAGAACTAAGGAGTCGTGGCCCTGAAAAGGAGCTCCAATTGGGAAACCTGACTGGGTAGGGGGGCCTTCCTATACATGATGTCAGAGTGCCAGACCAACGTCCATCGATTTGCAAATGTGACTAGTCCTTTGGCAATGAGTTTTTAGATGCAATACCAAGGCATGATGTGTGAGGGAAAAAGTAGGTAAGTTGAACTTCATGAAGTTCAACTTGTATTTATTATTTTTGTTACCCAGCTATGGACTAGCAATGAGTTTTTAGATGCAATACCAAGGCATGATATGTGAAGGAAAAAAATAGGTAAGTTGAACTTCATGAAGTTTAACTTGTATTTATTATTTTTGTTACCCAGCTATGGACTCAGCCTTTCTATAAGAAACCCTGTTTTTTTCCATTGTTGTTGTTTTTCCAATCTATTTAAACTAAAAAACAACAACAAATAAACACAAAAACCAGTTTACCCATTCCTTCCACCTCTGGCAACCCTAATCTGTTCTTTGTATCTATGAAAATTTACAACACAAAGAATGACCCCTAATGTAAATTACGGACCTATAGTTAATAATAAAACAATAACAAAAAAGGAATGAATTATTGATACATTTAACAACTTGAGTGAATCTCCAGGGCGAGTGAAAAAGCCATTCCCAAAAGGCTAAGTGCTGTATGATATTATTTGCAAATCTATCTAAACATATTTATGTAATACTTTAAATGGCAAAGTTATAGAAATAGATAACAGATTCCTGGTTGAAGGAATTAGGGAGGGAAGTGGGCATGGTTCTCCAGGCCAGTGCGGGATCCTTGTGGTGATGGGCTATTGTGTATCTTGACTGTGGCTGTGGATACACAAAACTGCCTATGTATCACAAACACACACAAGTACAAGGAAAACTGAAACGTCTGAATAGATCAGTGGATTGTGTCAATGCCATTGTCCTGGTTGTGATACCTCGGATACAGGTACATGGGATCTCTCTGCATTATATCTTACAGCTGCATGTGGATCTACAATGATCACAAAATAAAAAGTTTAATTAAAAGTGATTGGCTCCTCTGTCAAATATTAATTGACCATAGAGGCATGGGTTGATTTCTGGGCTCTTTGTTCTGTCCCACTGATCTATAGGCCTGTTCTTGTGCCTGTACCAGGCTGATTTGATTACAATGGCCTTGTGCTGTGGTTTAATATACAGTATTGTGATCCCTCCAACTTTGTTCTTCTTTCTCAAGATTGCTGAGGCTGTTCTGGGTCTTTTTTGGTTCCATATAAATTTTTAGAATATTGTTTTCTAGATCTATGAAATATGCCATTAGTATTTTAATAGGGATGGCATTGAATCTATAGATTGTTTTGGGTAGTAGACATTTTAATGATATTAATTATAACAATCCACGAACATGGTATGTGCTTCCACTTATTTGTATCTTCCTCAATTTCTTTCTTTAATGTCCCACAGTTTTACCTTCTTGGTTAAATTCATTCCAAGTACCTTATTTTGTTGTTGTTGTTGTAATAGTAAATGAGATTGTCTTCTTAGTTTCTCTTTCTGATAATGCATTATTGGTGTATAGAAATGCCGTTTAATGTCCCACAGTTTTACCTTCTCGGTTAAATTTATTCCAAGTACCTTAGTTTGTTGTTGTTGTAATAGTAAATGAGATTGTTTTCTTAGTTTCTTTTTCTGATAATGCATTATTGGTGTATAGAAATGCCGTTGATTTCTGGATATTTATTTTGTATCCTGCTACTTTGCCAAATTCAAAACAATATGGAGTTTCTTCAGAAACTTAAAAATGGAACTGCCTTTTGATCCCACTTTTGGGGATATATCCTAAGACTCCTGAAATACCAATCAGAAAGAATATATGCACCCCTATGTTTATAGGAGCATTGTTTACAATAGCCAAGATCTGGAAACAGCATAAGTGTCCATCAGTAGATGACTAGATAAAAAAGCTGTGGTACATTTACACAATGGGACACTATGCATCTGTTAAAAAGAAGGATCTCTAACCTTTTGCAGCAGCATGAAATAAGCCAGTCAGAGAAAGACAAGTATTATGGTCTCACTTATATGTGGAATCTAATGAACAAAATAAGTGACAAACAAACTAGAAACAGAAGCATGGATACAGAGGACAGACTGACAGCTGTCAGAGAGTAAGGGGGTGGGGCAGACAGGATGAAAGAAGGTAAAGGGAATAGCCAAAAACTTCAAGTGTCCATCAGTAGATGAATAGATAAAAAAGCTATGGTACATTTACACAATGGGACACTATGCATCTGTCAAAAAGAAGAATCTCTTACCTTTTGCGACAGCATGAAATAAGCCAGTCAGAGAAAGACAAGTACCATTTGGTCTCACTTGTATGTGGAATCTAATGAACAAAATAAAGTGACAAACAAACTAGAAACAGAAGCATGGATACAGAGGACAGACTGACAGCTGTCAGAGAGTAAGGGGGTGGGGCAGACAGGATGAAAGAAGGTAAAGGGAATAGCCAAAAACTTATATGCCTAGTGCATAGACACAGATAAGAATGCAGTGAGGGCCAGGGGAGGGAGGGTGGGCCTGGGTGGAGGGGAACAAAGAGGAGGAGCAATGGGGGACATCTGTAACAATGTCAACACTAAAAATAAAATATAATTTAAAAAAGTAATTGGCTATATATTTATATAGAGGTATATATGTATATACACACATATGTGTATTAAGTCTATTCTTTATTTAGTAATTTAAATGAAAATAGAACCTCTGTTTTTGAAAGCTCTTTATATCATATGCTATAGTTAGAATCTAAGTGTGTCTCATGAAGTAAAACAGTATAACTGCTGGTCTCAACTGTAGGGAAAATAGTCACCTTACTT